AAAGCGATTTTTACAGGTCTGAAAGAGAGGTTGTGGAAAAAGTTGCAGGAATGGAAAGAAAAGTTGTTATCTTGACCGGGAAAGGAAGTTCTCATTAAAGTTATGGCTCAAGGTACCTTGACTTATATGATGAGTATCTTTAAGCTCCCCGATGGTATTATTGATGAAATACATGCCATGCTTGCACGTTTTTGGTGGTATTCGACGGAGTTTGCAAGTAAGATGCATTAGCAACGATGGGACCTACTTTGTTGACCTAAAGCTCTTGGTGGTTTGGATTTTCGGGATCTTAAATGTTTTAACAAATAAAGCTTTACTTGCTAAACAAATTTGGCGGCTCCACCACAATCCGAGTACTCTCATTCACTCTATTTTGAAGGCAAAATATTTTAAAAATTGTAATGTACTTAAGGCAAGTATTGGATATGATCCGAGCTCTGAGAAGTATGTGGGGTGCTAAGGAGTTGCTTCTCGAAGGCCTTGAATGGAGAGTAGGAAATGGGAGCAAAATTAATGTTTGGCGTGATGTGTGGCTACCGGGTAGTACCTACTCCGATGGCTACAAGTAATATGGAAATGCGGGTAATTGATTTAATAGACCATAATAACAACTCGTGGGATGCTAATATCATTACTAGCAACTTTAACAAAGCCGAGAAGGCAATGATTCTTACACTCCCTTTATCTCCCAATAGACCACTCGATAAGATGTATTATATTGGTGGCTGACGAAAGATGGGGTCTACAATGTGAAGTCAGGGTATTGGTGTAATACCCTAGAAATTCCTTCTCTTTAAAATACCTTTTTTGCCCTATTTAAAATACAAAAAAGGAAAATCTAAGACATTACCGCCACCATGAAAATGGCTAAGGCAAATATCAAAGATACACAACAGAAGACAATCTTTTAAAAACTCAAATGAAATATAGTTTAATAAAATCAACTCAAATTTCAAAACCAACTTACACTAAAACAATAACTTGGAACCATTAAAGGCCCTTTTTAAACCAAAGTAAGTATAAACATTAACTAATGTTAGTGTCAACAATTACAAAAATAATTCAATACAATAAATAACAAACAAAGAAACATGTAAGCCTCTTCGCTCAAACCCATCATGCTTGATATGCTTCATCACCTGAAAGATTCTCTCTACTTGTCCCCACTACTCGTTATTAGAAATGGGTCCTCATAAGGCCAAGGTAAAGACAAGGCCAAACAAACATGCAAACACACAATCAGCAATGTTAAGTACATAAGCGTAATAACACACACTAACATGCTTTCATCCTATCAACACATAACTTACCTTGTTGCACCTGTTCACAAGTATACAAACATTCAACACTTAATTAGACCAACAACTAGTCCAATTATTTAGCTTGATTAAGCATCAAACGGGTTTCCCACTAACCTGCCCTAATAAAGGGGGTACTAACACGGGAGCTAACCGTGAAAGTATAAAATAAACAACTCGAAAGTGGTGAAATTCCTGCGCATAATAAAAAGGAAAATACAGCGTCCTGTACTCCCAGCAGAATTTATGGTAAAATATAAAGTCGCATAACTCCCCCCATATGTTCATACTCAAGGTATATACGTTCCAAGAGTTTTGGTGTGTAATCTCTTTCACTTTACGTTATTTACATATTATTAGACTTGGTAATGACACTCAAACCATAATACAATGAATCATTATAACTCATTCAAGCAATCAAACATACCAATTTAATTCTTGAATAATTAGTGACCACATAAATTTAATTGTTGAACCCTTTTTAATCTACCTCGGTGTCAAAAACACCTTAAACGCCTAATGCGCCACAAATTCTATCCCTCGGTGTTTAAAACACCTTAAGTGCACATAGGCACCAAAAATATAATTTAATCCTCGTGTACATAAGCACTTAAATAGCTCCTTCCTCATGCTTATAGCATCAATAAAAATTATATGAAACATAATAAAATTCCTTTTCCATATTCCAAACCAAATTAAACACTCAGTTTAATTAAACATGCTTTCTAACATGCCAATAATAAAAGTGTGGTTCATATCCAACATGCTAATATAATTAATTCCAATCACCAATTCACCATGAGTAATTTATACATCACAAATCATTCACCAACATCAATCCAATCAACAAATTCTAATCAACACCTATCATGATACTACTTGGAATTAATTAAATAAAACCTAGCATGGTTCAACACATTCAAATAATCACCAAGTACGCGAACGTACCTCAAATCATCTTTTCAACTAGCCACAATGCTAGAAATTACTCAACTTAAAGTCTCCTACAATACCAAATACATAAACTCAATTACTCCCTCAATTACACAAATTTCCAGCAATATATACTCTCTTTAAATCACTCATAAACCATCTAAAATAATCTGAAATTTAATTTGAAACCCTTACTTTTATTCCCAATTAATGGGTAATTAAAAATCCTTTCAAGAAACTTAATTATAACCTTTATATAAAAATTCCAGCTTTATTAAACCATCAAAAATCGTTTTAATTATGTTTAAAAACATTAATTTCAATAGTTTTAATAAACCACAATCAAATTCCATCAATAAACATTAATTTAGAAACCCAGAGTTTTCAATTTGGGGCTTTTTGATTAAAAACTAAATCTGAAAATCATATTAGAACATTAAACCTTCGTTAAAAATCAAAAACTGCCAGAAAACCATATTTAGAGGCTGAATTTGGCCACGAGAGGGTGGTATTCACCACCATAGGTAATGAGTTTGGTTTAAAACGTTGTTTACACACGAAAAATACTTTTTTTTTTTGTAAAAATCGGACGAGTTAGAATCTAAATGTGGTTAAAACGTGATTAAAAAATTAAGAACGGAGAATAGGCAATACGCAACCACCTAGGCCGCCGGTGCCGCGCCGCCTGGTGGCTGCTGCTACCAGCGAAGGTTGGTGGTGGTGTGTGGCGTGTGTGGTGGTGGTGTGTGGCGTGTGTGGTGGTGGTTAAGCAATAAATAATTAAATTAAAGGGGGAGGGGAAAAATTAAGGGAAAAATAAAATAAGATGAGAGAGAGAATTTACCTTTGAATACACTCCACCTTAGGCATATGATGGATATTTATACCCTCTCTCATAACCTCCTACTTACTACCCTTAATAATCTCTTTCCTACTCAAACAAGGATTTCTAATCAAACTAGGATTTTGACTTTCTTTAAAATTTTGACTTTTAAAAATTATCTTTTATAAAATAATATGTCCCAATATTTTTAAATCATAAAATAAAATATTTTCAAGATTATTAAATAATTAAAAATACACTTTTAATAAAAATCATACTTTTTAAATTAATGAAAAACCCTAAATAATTCATTTTGAATTATTAAAATACTTTTAAGAAAATACTTATATAAATTAAAATACGTATAAAAATACGGGGTATTACAATTGGTTGTGTAAAAGGGTGCAAAACTTAGCAGCTACGGTGGATATGGATGCGGTTTGGAGGCTCATTTGTTGGTGTGCCCTCCCAAGCTCAAGCACTTCCTATGGAGAGCTTGTAAAGGCTTCTTAGTCGTTAAAGAATGTCTGTTTTATCGTCACATTGTCACTGATAAGACGTGCTCATCTGTAATTGCCCCGAAGAATGGATCATTCACTCTACTTTTGAGTGTACAGCAGCTCGTGAAATTTGGGCTGCTAGCCCTTATGGCTCACAAATTCAGCAAGCCCCTGCATTGAGTTCTTGGAGCGGTTTTTATGGCTGTATAAGAATGTCTCTAGGGGCGAGCTGGTGACCATGGCTGCTCTAGCGTGGGCCTCGTGGCATTGTAGAAATAAATCAATTTTTGAGCAGGCACCATTTAACTTGGTGGAGGTTGCAAAGGGATGGGTTAATCTAGTTCGGGAAAGTAATGAGTATGCAAGCAAGGTTACGAACAGGGCTGCTCCATCAGCCAATGTTTCTGCTAGTTCTTGGAGCTGTCCGAGACAGGGCTATGTAAAGATTAATTGCAATACTCATTTGGGGGCTAGAACTGGGTTGAGAGTGGTGATTATGGATGAACAGGGAGCTGTGATTGCTGCTGCAGTACGCCTGGAATTTGCTGGTTGAGGTATGGAGATTGCGAAAGCTGCTGCTTGCTACTGCTGTTTGGTGATTGCAAGAAGGTTGGGTTTCGAAAAGGTTCATCTCGAGTCTGATGCAAGTAATGTGGTGAGAGCGGTAAAGAATAAAATTGTTGGCTTTTCCCCAAGTTCATGCTGTATGAGGATATTAGTAGCTTATCTTCATGCTTTAACTCTTTCTCTCTTTCTCATGTCAAGCGGGCGGGTAATACTCTATTACATAATGTAGCAAGATGGGATGCTAGGGGTGTTGATGAATTTGTATCTCTTGGTCCTTTCCCTCAAAGCCTAACAACTCAGAAATTGATCTTATTTAATGAAATTCGCTGTTTTGGTTTAATAAAAATAAAAATAAAAAAATAAATAAAATAAAATTGAGTTGTGACTTGCATCGGCCCAACCCGGTCTTAGCCCTATAAAATGTGACTCTCTTTGACCTGACACACCCAATAGCTAGGTCAAGTCTGATGGTAATGGGCGACGTGGGGTGGAAGTAGTGGGGAGTCGATGACAATGGAGCGGGTGATTATGGTTAGAGAAGGAGAGAAGGAAGGGAGGGGCATAATGGTAATTTAGTTAGTTTAACCGGTTAACTCTTATTTTTTTATTTTTTTTTTGGGGGACGGGAACTCTGTTTTTGTTAAGAGTTAATTAGTTGATTAGGTATCAATTATTAACGGACATTTTGATGAGGGGTATTTAGTACATATTAAGAGCACCGAGAATGTTTATTATTTTAAAATTCGAGATATTTGGTGTAAAACCCGTTATATATTAAAACAATGAAAGTATTTTAAAATTAATTAATTAATTGGGGAGAAAAACAGAAAAGACAGCGGTGGTTACTAGTTAGGTGCGTCAAAATCGGACAAAATGATTGCCAAAAGACCTCTGCTTTCAATTATCCAACTTCTAACTTCTGCTTTTGGTCTCCGCAATCTCCTGCCAGCCCCACCACCACTCCTCTCCCTCATCTTTTCTTCCTCCCATATTTTTCAAACAACCATTGCTAGCTCTAACATTACATTACAGGTTCTTGCATTTTCCTTCCAATTGCTTTTGTGATTGTAAACCCCATCTTTCTGTCTGGAGAAAAATGGCTACAATCACAAGCACTAACCCCAAATGCAAGGCCTGTGATAAAACTGTCTATCTTGTTGATAAGCTCACCGCCGACAATAAGGTCTATCACAAAGCCTGTTTTCGTTGCCATCATTGCAAAGGCACCCTCAAGGTATTTCCCCTACTTCGTATTTTTCGTTGTTACATATATATTTCCATTACATGAAACCATTTACGAAGAACATAACTATATTGTTGGATTGTACGGATTTCTCTAACGCGGATATCTCCATCTCTGAATCACTCTGATGGATCTAGATCCTTTTAGCTAATTTCTTTTGATTCGAAATATTGTATTCTATAGCATACCAATACAATGTTACAATACTGATTGTTAGCTTGGTACAAAGTCACATTATCAATGTAATATTATAGGGCTTTTATAATAAAAATTTGAGCTGTGTTAATTTATCAAATACAATATTAGAGCTGTGTTACAATATCATCAATTACAGCTCTGTTACAATACTGATGCTTAAATTAGACTAACTTATTATGTTGACTTGTGTATTGAATTGGATTGGAGGGAGAAAATATTGCAGATTTTAGTTTTGAGTCCATAAATTATTTTTATGATAGGTCGAATTTTGAGTCAGTAACTGTGTAAGAAAACAGATTCTACTTTAATGTATCAACATGCAAGTGATTATGCAACTTCTAGACCTTTAAGTATGGATATTGTAACAATGCTTAAATCTGGCAGTTCTGAAACTAGACAGCGCCATTTGCGATGTTTTCAAGGTGTTGCTAAAAAATGAAATTTGGTTTTGCAGCTTAGCAATTACAATTCCTTTGAAGGGGTATTGTACTGCAGGCCGCATTTTGATCAGCTGTTTAAGCTAACTGGCAGCTTAGACAAAAGCTTTGAAGGTATTCCGATTTAAGATCCTCAATCTTACGATACAAATACAGTAACAAATTAAAATTGCTCTGATTTCTGCTGAATTATTATTTATCATCCCTAAATTTGGTTTCAGGTACTCCTAAAACAAAACCAGATAGAACCGTTGATAGTGAGGTATATCTTACAGGCTTTGATTTTATATAAGTGAACACACACAACTACTCTTTTAATTCTGAGAGCTTGTTATAATATTCGATTTCTCATTTTGGGATAATGAATTACTTTGCTCAGAAACCTCCTAGCAAAGTCTCTTCCATGTTTGGTGGAACTAGAGATAAATGTGCGGGTTGCTCCAAGACTGCTTATCCAACTGAAAAGGTATTGCTCACTGTTCGAATGTATTCATTTTCTGTTTTATTCTAGGTCTTCAAATCTGTATTGTATGTCAAAGAGGTTAAACTGTCTTACATCTTCACCATGAATCTATGACCTTTCCTAAAAGACATGACTATGCAAAGGGAAAAAAAAAATAGTACTCCTTTTGTTTCATTGTATTACAACATCCACAATTTTTGCTGCAACTGGGCTAATCCTGATAAATGTTTATAAAATTTGTAAGAAGACGATTTTATGAAAGTACTTTTGAAGGGTTCAAAGTAAAGTGCACTAAAAAAATATTGATCTTTTTGAAGGTGACGGTGAATGGCAGTGCCTATCATAAGAGCTGCTTCAAGTGCTTCCAAGGAGGATGCACAATAAGCCCCTCAAACTACATTGGCCATGAGGGGCGGCTGTACTGCAAACACCACCATACTCAACTCATCAAGGAGAAGGGAAACCTTAGCCAGCTTGAGGGTGACCTGGAGAACTCAACAAAGATCAGAGAAGTTGCCGCAGAGTCCTAACGACGCTGAATTTTGTGTCTTCTTCACGTCTCTCTGTCTGTTGTTCATGCCTTGTATGTCAGATAAGAGAGAACATCCATTTTCTCTAAGTTTAGATTATTGGTTTTCACTCCAATAGAGACCTAAACCTCCAAATTTGCTGTTTGTTGTGGTTGTAGATTTTGGTTATGATATGTTAAGTTGTGTTGTGTTGTATTGTGATGCTGTACCATATGCAATATGCTGAAGCAATAATGTGCAATTTGAATCCAGTTTTGTAAAAAGTTCAATCCTTTTTGCATTACACAATTTTTTTTTATTCCATTATTTTTTTTTTCAAATATATCTTTTACTCTCTCTCAAAGAGTAAACTGAGACCGAGCATAAACAAACAGTGGGATATTAATCCCTATACATTTCTTGAGACCCTAATGCCGATTGGTTGTTCTAGGGTCCGTAGTGAAGTTTTTAGGTGCTTCTAGGAGCAACTATTTCACGTGATGTAGCAAAGTGACAACAATCGAAGGGCCAAACTAGTTACAAAAAAATCGTGCCCATTCTATTGATCCCTAAAACGTTGTCATATCACATAAGAATTGAGAATTTGAGATCATGTGCTTGTAACTTGTAAGGTGTACTTTAATAATTCAGAATATATATAGCAGTTATTGTTGTTTGAATTTTGAAAATAAAGTCTTTTCAAACATCAAATAACCAAAGAGATCCACCAGAAAGATGCCAGCAATGCGGATAAATGCAGCAGCTATCTGATAGTGACATAACAGCTAGATTTTCATAACTTAATTTGAAAACTGCTAGGCTACAACTACCAGTGCAGGCCTTCAATTTACTGCCCTGCATAGGAAACACTAAAGAACAGTTTCTGTATGTCACCTTAAGAAAAACATGGGACTTTCCAAAAGTACAGGTTACACATGCAGAAAATTAAGATTGTCATCAAGTCAGAAAATCGGACGTGTGTAGATGGTGACTTGTAAACTCACATTGAATTAAAACTTCTTCCGTAACTCATGAAGATCTTCAGTATTTGACACAAAAGATAGACAAACAGATAGTTGCCGAGATTACATACCAGATTTTGTTTTCTTTGTGCTCCTGTCTGGGCTCTGTCTATGTTCTTCGAAGTTTAGTTTTCTCCACATGCTGGAAATTTTTGCAACTTAAAAAAATATATAAAAAAAAAAAAATGAGATCTTGCAATCTGTTGGATGAACAAATATTTTTTTTTTTTTTTTTGACAGACTGTTAGATAAACAAATTGAATTACTATTATGATAACGAACTTCTATATGTGGAATTTTGCGATGAAAGTCTTACCACGATGTCCATGATAATGATTTTCCACCAATCAAAGAAGAATTCCGTTTACAAATTATAATGAGTACTTAATTGTAAATACCACCTCTTTAGGGTTACTTGGAGATAATGTCAATACCATGAACACTGACATTAATTCTCTTAGGTAAAGATAATTTTTGCTATCATGGCATTATTAGCATATAATTATAAATGGAGTTCTTTGTAAAAACAAACCAACTTATTTGCAAGTATCATCAATATGATCTAAAATTATGTCATGAAACATTATTAAAATTTAAAAAGAAAATTGTCAAAAATAATACAAACTTTGAGCGGTCCGTCAAAAACAAATCAATCTTTTGATTATTTTTAAATAATACAAACTTTGGGGAGTATCTTCTTTAAACAAGTCATGACCTGTTAATAACCTAATTAACAGGTTAGGTGGGACACATGTCATTATCTTATTGGATTAACCATTTAATTTGTTTTTTTTTTTTAAAGATTATTATTTTATTTAAGAAAAAAAAACTCCACCCATCTCCTCCACCAGCCACCACAACACCGGCGCAGCCTCCCTCCCAGCTCCCAGGCGTTGGCCGCGCCCAGATCCCCCTCCCCGGCGCCGGCAACGACCCCCCTCCCCCGCGCGTCATCCCCTTCCCTCTTCCTCGGCAACCAGCGAACCCCCTTTTCCAAAACCCTCCCTCCCCCGCAAAACCACCAAAAACCCATCTCCCACCCTCGAAATACCCTAATCGGACCTCCCCAGCCACTGCTTGGGGTTCGATTAGGGTTTTTCGGGGGTGAAGGATGGGTTTTTGGTGGTTTTACGGGGGATGGAGGGTTTTGGAAAGGTGTTTGTTGGTTGTCGGGGAGGAAGGAAGGGGGTACGGTGATGCACGAGCGAGGGGGTCGGCGCCGGCACCGGGGAGGGGATCTGAAAGCAGCCGGCGTCGGTGGACTGGGAGGGTTTTGGGGGTGCCGGTGGTGGGTGGCTGGTGGAGGAATCAGGAGATGGTTTTTTTTTTTTTTTTTTTTCTTGGAAGAAAATTTTAAAAAATATTTTAATTGTTAAATTATTTTTATGAAAAGTTTTAATTGTTAATCACCATAATTAAAGTTGTTATTAAGGAGTAATTACATTGTTAAACAAATTTATTAAAAAAAATAAAATAATTTAACCTGTCATTTTGGTTACAGATAAAATAACTTGTTTAAAGCGGATACTCACCAAAGTTTGTATTATTCAAAAATAATCAAAAATTTGACTTATTTTTTACGGACCGTTCAAAGTTTGTATTATTTTTGATAATTTTTCCAATTTAAAAAATTTATTACAAATTGCAGGGTTTGAGGATCATAGCATATTATAGTATGATCCAGCAAATGCAACTAAGGGAAGATTGGTTAGGGTTCAATAGAACTAGCCCAACTACAAAAAACCCTGGAATATCGTACAAGATTATGTTACAACACTACAAGTGATTTTGGCCCTAGGGTGGGTACCTCGGTTCATCAGTTGCCCCACGCCAAATATGGGCCTGGTCACTTACAAGTTACTAAAAAAAGAAAGAATGAATTACAACATCTAGAATCACAAGCTGCGATGTCTAAAATCATTAGACTTGTCTCTGAACTCTGCACATAAATGGATCCAAAGAATGGTTCAGCCACAATAAACTTCAGCAGCATCCAAAAGATAGTCATGTTGGGCAATATGCTTCATGTCCACGATAAAATTGTCACGAAGAAATCCAAACCCAAACGACCCATCAACATATTGCCAAATCCTTCCTTCAACATGACGAGGATTTGTTGAACTCCCTGTAGAATCGGGAATAATAAGGTCGTAACTTGAGTTGATGTACATAACTCGTGAAGGTGAATACTCATAAATATCATCTTCTACTTCAGCTGTAGGCCGAAGATGCATCCGGGTATTGTATACATAATCTTCTTCATGAGATAGTGGGGATTCAATAAATGTTGCATTTGAAGTCCAAAATACAGGTGCATAGCCAGAGAGGGGTTGCAAAGAGTCCCCAACTCTTCGACAGGCGACACCTCCAATGTCATCGTATGCCACAAGATAGAAATCAAGACTCATGTCATTGTTTATACCCTGCAGCATCAGGGATAATGTCAACTAAGAAGCTCTTCAAGGCATCCAAAAGATTTATACAGAATAAAGAAAATCAAAGCAAAGAAACAAATAACATTTTTGTTTCGCCTTCCTTGACAGACACCGGAATACAAAAAAAAAAAATTATTATCACAGCTTTATCTGAAAGGCCAAAGCCCACAATGAAATAATAAAATTCGATATAAAAGCAACATGTAAAAATGGATTTGCATCATAAATCACTTCAGAGAAATGTTCAGAAGATGAATGTTCATAAAATCATTTTCACAGTTAATATAATACTGAAAGCCAAAACGGGGGAACACTACACAAAAGCTTATAGATGATGCTTCTGAATGCCATTTTCTTACAATTTATCATCTCAACTTGATGCAGAAGCAGAGACATGCATATATGTGTTCGAGCAAGGAGCATTCCAAGCTGTCTTTTAAAGGACAAAAAATGCATTCCAGTTCTGTAGAAAAGATTTCTCAATATTTCCCTTGGTTTCTTTAATAAAAGGAATACACTGACACAATAACTTTATCTTGTACTTAATATTTGGCAATGCAAAAGGAGTATCTTGTACTTAATATTTGGCAATGCAAAAGGAGTAATCCAAGCAAGGAGCAATCCAGCAGTCATAAAAAGGACAGATAATGCATTCCAGTTCCACAGAGATTTCACAAATCTTCCCTTGGTTTCTTACAATGTAATTCGTGGAGAAATAATCATATTTCCTCTTTCCATCTGTTCGAAAGGTGACGACAAATCATTTGTCAAGCCCACCATTATCTCAACAAGTCAGCAAAATTCATACACGTATGCAGGCAAAATTGTAGACAACACAAGTTATGGTGGTCAAACTATAGCATACACTCTATCACCAAGCGTAAAAACTAAGTTTGCTTCCTTCTATGAATTGAATAAGCAATGCAAATCCACATAAATTAAAAGTAATGAGAATTAGGGGAAGCCGAATATTAAGAAAAAGAAAAACATTAGTATTAGGAAACTGAGAGGGAGTGCTCAATTGTTGTTTCCAAAAATTATAGAACGGAAGTTATTTTCTACAAAATGTATCTTAATTTTTCTTTCCTTCAATCCCCCACCCCCCCAAAAAAAAATGCTTTGTCCTTTTTCCCAATTGCCTGAAACAGAGGAATTTTAAGCCATCAACCAAACTGAACATCTTTTCACAGTATTCAGTTAGGAACACGACTACCTTTTATCATAAAATTTCCCAAATTAAGTACATAATTTTTTTTTTTAATCAACTACTACTCTATTCCGAAAAAAAAATATATCATTAGTCTTTATGTTTTAGTTTTTAACATATAATTCTACCCTCAATTGCTTAGTTCCTGTTTTAGCAAAGAAAATACTTAATTTACCAGTACTTCACTGCTTCCCCTATGAAACTCAGATCCCTCACTTTTTTTAAGTATATTTTAACTCCTATGCAAAAGGGACCAAAGGGATCCACTTATTGTCTTTGGAGGTGTGACGGACCAATACCAGGCAGTGGGCACCCTGCCCTATACTGGGGGTAAAATGGATCTTCCATCCTATAAAATATTAATCGGGAAGCATAATAGGATATGGGTTCTGAAAAGTTAATGCACTTCCCTTGATTGTAAAAATTCTCCTCCTTGAAATCCCCTCTTCCCAGTTCCCATCCTCGTGATCGTGGGAACTATAGCCGTGTGCGCTGGACAGGAAAGTTAGAGAAGGATCTGGCATTTTTATTTTTGCCAGTTGGAGAAGGAGCTGCTTAGTACAAATGAGGTGAATTATACTTGCAGAAGAAGAGAGAAGAAACAAGAACAGTATTTCATCAACAAAATCCGACTTTTCTATA